TGCAATAAAACATCTTCAACCATGGTTTTCACTAGGTTGAAGGTCAGGCCAGTCAATTTATGGAGATGTCTAGCTTCTTGTCAAACAAAATGTCTCTCTTGTAGTTGGTTTCAATTATTTGCAAGACGTCAGAACTGTGGCTACAGTTTGGAAATACTTCTGGCTAATTTTAAGAACAAGATAGCTACATTGGTTAAGAACTTGACTTTAAATACCAAAAGTGTAGACTGAAAATGTTAGGTCAGTGAAATCTAATTGGCCAAAATTGGTGACAAGAATTACTTGTGACTAAAATCTATCAGAGTAATCCTCGAGACATATTGGTCAATTAACTTTTTATTATCCAGTGGTGCTTGTGGATGGCTTGACTCAAAGGGCACTGCTATGTCTTTGCTTAAACAACTCTCCAAAGAGGCACGAGTTTCACCGTTATTTTCATCTTTCAATGAATATTCATATTTTGCCAAATATTTGAATGTGAAATTGAAATGTTTTCTCTTGAGTTTTAATGAAAATAATATGTACACTGTCATTTCCAATAACACCTTTTAGGTCAGTGATCACAGTAACTTGATATTGTGAAGCCTTAACATCTGGATGAAATTTTTCCTTTCCGTTTCCAACTAGCTTCATAATTGGTTACTCATTTCAATTGATTCAATTATGTCAAAAAACATTCATGAATGACTTTGTTCAATGTTCCCACATGTGTGTGTGGGACCACACACGTATTTGGAAGTGGTGGTCCTTGCTTTCCAAGCTATGAAGTGTTCACTATGAAATGTAGACATTATATTGCGTGATTACCAAAAAGTTAAGGCAACTGCAGCTAGTAGATGTTACATCAACAGTTTGCACAAATGAAGATTACAGCTAGGAATTCAAAAACACAGCTTAAAGGACTTTGTTATCCTTGTTTTTCAAGCTACTTTCGCGAGAATCACTTACTTGATCTAACTGATTGGTGAGAGACTTACATATAATACTGCATAATTATTGCTATATTTTTATTAATCACCCGAAAACTGTATAGCTTCTCCACTTGCAGTGAGAAAATTGTGTTTGACGGCTTGCAGGTTTACCACTTTACTAGATTGCAGCTACTGGTCATTAGTTTCAGAAAGTAACTCTAGATGGTTACGAAGTAACTTGAAGCTGTTAGTTTATATGATGGTGTGTAATGGAAGTAAGTTTATATGGCATTATATGAAATCAGTCATGAGTCTTGTATAAAACAAACAAATCATTTACACAACGAACACAATTATTAAGCTACTTATAAATGGAAACAAAGTATTAGTAATCTATGTTAAGTCTTTGCAATATGAGCTCAACTGTGATTATTGACCTATAAGGTATTATTTGAGGATACAATGTACTTGTTATTTTTATTAATACTTTACAATTTTAACTTTGAGATATTCAGCAAATAGTGAATTTTCATGGAAGAATAAGAGTAACAGAGAGACTTCTACTACTTCCAATAGAAAGCATAATTTTACCTGTTATTTCTCGACAAGAGTACTGCAAAATATTTTAGTAAGATTGAATCGGAATATTTGAATAGGTGAAATTATTGGTAATATATGAAATTCACAAACAGTAGCTTAAATATCAAATGCAAAATTAGTGTATCCAGTGTTTCATTTGGTTGTGGTAGAATACCTTGAATCTTTAAGATTGGAATATCTAGTAAAGCACACAGTTTTCTAAATAAAATATTTTCTAAACATTGTTTCAGTACAAGGTGCAGTATAAAATGAATGAAAATGTAGGATGCAAGTGTACTAGTGAAAGGTGGAAACGAACATCCACGTGGTGAAACTTTGTAAATCGCTCCATAGGTAGTACTAAACTTGTAATTAGAAGAAAGTGTTAGTGGATCCTAAAAAACAAAAGTAAATGTTATTATCGCCTTACCGAGTCAACTCATGTGTGTAGGATCCAGTTTCACAGTTTCAACAATATCCCTTTCTTACTGGAACCAAGCACTGTTTGTATAAAAACCGGACAGCAGTGGAAGAAATGGATCTTGATCAAAAGGTACATGTGTTGACCATTGTCGCGGTAAAGACAATACAACTAAAAAAGGAATTGCTCAAGTGAAGAAACAATGAGACCTGAAAATCGAGAAGTTCATAGGTGCTGGATACACGAATTCTATAGGCGATTAAAGCATGAGAACTTATGCAAACTCCATACAAACGTTGCTTGACCAAAGTAATCCATTGATTACTACACTTCTAAAGGTAGTTTTTAGAGGGAAATAATGATCATAATCAAATGGTTATGACCCTCTTTCTACCTACCTACCTAACTGACATTTTGGAATTCACTGACCTTGCATTTCCAGTACGAGTCGTTGCTATTTAAGTTCAAGCCCTAAACCATTTTGGCTATCTTGTTCTCCAACTTACTAGTAGTGGCTGAATATTTCACGTTTCTATAGCTCCCATAAAAAGTTATCTTCCTAAAAGAGGAGTGATATACCCCCAGAGTCCCATTAACCACAAGGTTAACTATCTATAACAATAAACCAGAGAAAAGGAAACGTTTTTCCACCAGGGGTCTCCATCATGCAGATTTTCTGGAAAGTTGTTGATGGCCTTTCTATGTTCCTGGGACTGAGAGGTACTGAAGCATATTTCAATTTGAAGGTCACCAATGATAGGAGACACAAGCTGAGAGATGGCACTTGCTCTGCTTGGGGAGAGTATTTTTCATTAATACACGTTGTCCAAGTACGTCAGCAGCAGTGTTATTGAATGCTAATCAGGTGATATGTTGCAATGAAAATTACAGAATAACCACGTGAATAGCGCTAATCACGCTTTTTAAATGCGAGGTTTCTTGGAAACTAAGAAATTTTTCATTTAAACAGCTTGGAACAGGATTTTGGAATAAACCACTGACAGTATCCAGTAAAAGTGACAGCTCATCGTATTCTAAAACAGGCACATACACTGCATTTGTGTTTTATAAAGTTTGTGCATTTCACTTTTGACCAGTCTTATTATTCAATTTTAAATCGAACCAGTTAGTAAGATATTTCGTATTACTTGTAATCAATATCTTAATAGAATATCCTTATCTAATATAGTTCGAAAGTTAATTCAGTTTCAGATATATCCCACAGGTAACAAAGATTCATATTAATTAACTTTCGTGTTCATTTGCGCAAAGGTGTGGTATATCCAAGTAAATATTAACTAATTTCAGAGCAATGGGATAGGTCCGCAGAATAGCATGAGATTCGATTTAGACATTCATTGTGAAGTAATACTAAATCTCTGAATAAATTAATCATAAAAATGAACGAGACTAGACACGAGTTGAAATACAAAATGAACAAACTTAAGACAAACAATGTGTACTTGAATAAGGAAGCACATTATACTAATATAATAATAGTGTTACGACAGCGGAAGTCGCGCGACGCTGGGAGCATGCGCTGGTGTTCTAGAAAGATCGAGGAACCTGTCGAACGTTCTAGCATTTGCTAGACGCGCGCTTTTATTGTATATAAGTGCGGCAAATAAAGCAAGAGGATTAATCGGAATTGGAATCGCAGATAGAGAGATTGAAGATATAGACACGGATAGTTGAGTCAAGCGGGCGGTAGTCACCGTAAGTAAAGCGTGTGAATTGTTGTAAATTATAGCGTATGTTTAAGTTAAAGTGACTGTGGAAATTAAGT